CCCGGAGCTCCTACTTGGGTCCACCACCAAAAAAGAAGCCTCTTCCCAGGCTCAAATTATCTTCTGAGTTTGTCCTCTAAGGTCTTCCAAAAGCGATCACACTGCAGCCAAATATCAATCAGAGCGTGTCATCCTCACAACCTCAATGGCTTATCATTTTTAGAATGGGGGAAGGGAGAGGAGAAGGTGGGAGAGAGAGATTGATTCAAATTTTTTGCCATCCCATAGAATTCCGTGATGTGGCCCCTGCCTATTTATCTGACTGCATTTGTACTCCCTCCTTCTGGCTGTTCTGACACTTGCACTCTGGATGTGCTTGCTGTCAAAAGTCATCCTTTCCCTAAATCTTTGCATAGCTTGTTCCTGTCATTCAGTTCTCAGCTCAAATATCGCCTACTGGGAGCGCTGCAAGAATTAGCAAATTAGCAAATAAGAATACAGGACACCCAGTTAATTCTAGTCAATTTCAAATAAAAAGTGAATACTTTTATTTAGGACAAGTGTGTTCCAAATATTGCCTAGAACATGGTTATATTAAAAGATTATTCACTGTTTATCTAAAATTCAAATTTAACTGTATGTCCTGTATCTTACATGGCAACCTTTCTTACTGGGAGAAGTCTTCCCTATCTGTCTAAATCAGTTTTTGCAATTATTGTTACATGATTCTGTTTTATTTACTTAGTGGCACTTTTTACCAACTGAAATCATCTTATTTACAGGTTTATTGGTTGCTTCCTTAAAACTAAAATGTAAGCTGCTGCTGCTTCTTTTTGTTTTTTAAATAGGCACAGGGTCTTGCTATGTTGCCCTGGCTGAAGTGCACACTACAGCCTTGAACCTGCTTCATCCTCACAAGTGTCTGGGACATTTATAGGCATACCCCACTGCCCCAGCATAGAATATAAGCTTCTTTTTTTCTTTTTTTGAGACAGAGTCTCAGTATGTCACCACTATATCATCCTAGGTAGAGTGCTGTGGTGTCACAGCTCACAGCAACCTCAAACTCTTGGGCTTAAGTGACTCTCTTGCCTCAGCCTCCCAAGTAGCTAGGACTACAGGCATCTGCCAAAATGCCTGGTTATTTTTTTGTTGCAGTTGTCATTGTTGTTTAGCTGGCCTGGGCTGGGTTGGAACCCACCAGTCTCAGTGGCGCTGTAACCACTGTGCAACATGTGCAGAGCCAAATATAAGCTTCTTGAGAGCAGGCAGCTTGTAAGTTTGGTCACTGCTGTGTCCTCAAGGCTTGAACAAAGTAAGGACTCAACAAATATTCATCAAATGAAAGAATGAATAGATGGAAATTTTTCTTACCCTGAGGGTGAAGGATGGCAATAAGGCCTGTCAAAATAATGTCTCTAAAAGCTAGTGTTTTGACCAAAAAGCCCTCCCTCTTTTTTGGTACTTTAATCCATCAGCAAGTGTCCATCACTGGGTAGACCAGAAAGGGTGTGTTCAGGCATTGTAGCGCATTCAGTAAAAACAAACAACTTGTTATAAAGTAAGGTACTCTAATTGAGGGAGGGATGATTGAATATTTCTCTCAGTTTGAAACAAACAAACCCCAAAACATTCTTTCTAGAGCAAAAGCAGGCCGTGTCCTAGATGATTGCTTGAAATACCTTCTTCCCTTGAGCTTGGCATTTGTTGCCCTAAGGACAAGTATCATGAGCTTAAGCACAATTTAGCTAGGTAGGCTCTGATGCTGACAGGTACCTGAAGGAATCTCTGAAAGCTAGTTTGAAAAACCTTCATGCTCAGATGTCCCCTTGCACCCCACGCTGTCCCTTTGATCCCCCAAATGAGGGTGCAATTGCTTCTTCCCAGAAAGATTAGGTTAATGTGTTTCTGATGCCTCAACTTGGTGCAAACTAGAATAAACACGAATGGCAAAAATCAGTGTATGAGCTCATTCAGGCTTTGATCAGAGACATAATTTCATTATGAAATTTTGAATCAGGCTGTTGTGAAGTCTTGCCAAAGAGTTTCATTTTCCCAGATGATATGGTGGGTTGTTTCTCTCCTGTTCTCATACTCTGCTTGTGTTTATCATACAAATTCACCATCTATTTTTACAATCTGACCCATCAATCCTTTTACAACAGCATTGGCCGATCCCAACAATCAACTTCAGTTCTATCAGCAGATATTAAAATAAGCCTGATCAAGGTAAGTGAAGCTTAAATTACTGGTTTGGTTTGCACTGCTTACTGCAATTATAATACAAGGATGATTTTTCACTCTCCTTTCTGATGTCATGGTGACCAGGGGAGGCAAGACATACCTACAGGCCTATAGTTCCTCAGCTTTGAAATAGACTTAACAATTTACCTTGAAAGATTGCAATGTGATCATATGAGTTATAGTATATGAAAGCATTGTGGACATGGTACACCATGCAGATGAGATGCTTTCTTGTAGATCCCGGGTTAGCTCTTCATCTCCTGGAATCTTAATCCTAGTAACCACAGGTTTGTGTGAATGAGAAGACCATGGGATAGACTGGTTGGAAATGTCACCTTTCTGAAACAGCCCTGTGCCATGTTCTAGACTGGTACTTTCCCAGGAAGCAGAGAATTTTGACCTCACTTTTGCTTTCAGGCCATAAAAGACTTTGTTATTGGGGTCTAATGAGCAAATAGCAGCAGCTTCTCAAGTATCATTTTTCAAAGTGTGATCTGAGGACCACCAGTATCAAAATCATTTGGAGGATCTGGTTACAAATGCAGCTTCCTGGACTTCATCTCAGACCTTCCAAAATCAGACCCTTGGAGTTGGGCCCCAGAGAACGTACATTTTAGCAAACTCCTCAAGTGAGTCTTACATACACAAAAGTTTCAGATTTGAAAAGCATATTCTTTCACAAAAGCCACCTTGCAGCTCTCTGTCCAGCTAACCAAAGGCAGCTCTGGAAGGTCCAGCTTCTTTCCATCTATATCTTAAATCCTCTTCGTGTTTCACAGCAGAACCAGGGTGAGGAAGGCTGCAGCAGTGTCTAACGCACTCTGAAAATATATGTCTTGGCTCTGCCCCAAATGCCTTGATATTTATGCTGCAGCCAGAGGGTCGTTATCCTTTGGCAATGCTCCATTGTAAGGTCATTAGCTCTTAATTAGTGCCAGCTTGTTGCTTTATGCTTCCCAGCTGAACTGTGCGCAGAGGCTGTTCTATCCAGTCCCCTCGTGTCTCTCCTCTGGCGAGTCCATGATACATTGACCTCTGCCTCCAGGGCCCAAGAGTTGGGTCTCTGGAGTGGCTGCTGCTCAAAGTGATCCCCAAATAAGAAGCTCTGGGACCCTGGAAAAACAGAGAAGGACTCAGCATGTGCTTTCAGGATTTCATTGTCTTATTTCATTTGTAGAAAACAGAAAAGTGAGTCCTTGATTATACAACTTCAGCAGTTTACAAGTATAAGAAAAATAAGGTGCTGCTCCATAGGCTAAATTATCCTCAGTTTTCAGCCTATGATGCCTGGGAAATTCTTGGGCAAGGATATATATAGCAAGCTGGTGGGCTGACGGGCTATGAAAAATGGCTGAGAGACTCACCTCCGGGAACCCCAAGAAACTTCTGGTCATGGTCACCACTTCTTAGTGAGAAAAACATAGTCTGTGTTAGTTTTGGCATTGCTCTCATCGCTGGGTAGAAGCTCTTCAAAAAGATCCCGAGATTAAGCATTGGCAAAATAACTAGAAGCATTTTGCTCCCTCTTATCACCAAATCCCTGTGGTCCTCAGCATATTCAGTGTAAGAAAACCTGAGAAGCACTATTCTGAGATGCTGTTACTGGCCTCCAATTTTCAGCCTGGTTTAGATAACTCAAGATTGCTGGCTGTGTCCTAAGAAATGAATCCAGAACACACATTGATGTGGGAATTTAAAGTATAATCCCAAATTGTAGATAATTGTTTAAGCTCCAAGGAGGCTGGAGGGCCCATATTAAGTCATCTTCTCAAGATCAGTGTGTTTTCTATTATACTGGGTATCTATCTGTCCAGTGATCCTTTTGATTTTGAAGCCGTTAGACTAAATCTTTGTGTAATTCTTTACCCCCTTCATCTCCCGCCTTCCTCACTCTTTTTCTTTAGAAAACACTTTTGAAAAATTTTGACCTGGTCCCTTGGATTGTTTCCAGAAGAATCATGTCCTATTATAGAAGCCAAAAAGTCAACTCCTAAAACCAGTGTGTCAGGGGAAGCTCTGTCTGTCAGAAGGTCATTCTTACCTTAAGGGCAGCCTCTGCCTGGCAAGACAGAATCCCTCTTGCTCTTTTGTCTGATCTAGTCTAGACTGGGAACAATAGAGATCTGGGCTAAAGTGCAGAAGACAGGCAGAGTGAATACCTCCTCAAGGAGCAGAAGAACTGGTCAAAACCTTTAGTTATGTAATTTTTTAGAGCCCAGATTACAAAAAGATAAGTCCATCACTCTTTCATCTTTGGAAAAAGCAATCCTTCCAACTCATCGTGCAACCCAGGTTGGAGGAAAGCTTCAATGCTTTAAATGTCTATTAGAGAGACTTTAGAGTTGCCAGCTTTGTTTCTAGCTAGAGCTGGGAAAATCCCCAGGATGCACAACCACTGTGTCCAGGACCTGAGGACTCATGCTTCTCCTATGTCCTTCCCTGTCCCCTACATCCCCAATGCACGGGAAGAAGCATGAGCCAAACCAAGTAGCTTATCTCTCATCACAGAGGTAGGCAAACTACAATCCCCCAGCCAAATCTCACCATGTTTTTATATGGCCCACAAGCTGAGAATGGTCTTCGTATTTTTAAATGATTGAGAAAATTCAAGGTAAG